GTTGGGTGAGCTGCTCCAATCAAGCTACACAAGACTTGCGCCATCATTTCCCGGGAAAGAAAACCACAATAATGTCAACCGAAAACTATACTGAGTTCACAGAGCGAAAATTGACAGATTCGTGCACAGAAGATTTAACAGGGGATTTACGTTGGCATCTAACTTTTCTATCGGTTGTGAACATTTTCCTTGCCATTACAGCCATTCTTGGGAACACGCTGATTCTTGTTGCTCTACATCACGAGTCTTCCCTTCATCCGCCATCCAAACTCTTGCTCCGTTGTCTGGCTACAACTGATCTGTCCGTTGGTCTTATCTCCCAGCCACTCTCTGTTGCTTTTTGGATCTCAATTGTGGTCAGAAACTGGACTTTTTGCCGATTATTCAGTATTCTGACTTTTATGGCTAGTTACTTATTGGGTTCCGTTTCTTTGTTGACGCTGACAGTGATTAGCGTGGAAAGGCTTCTCGCCCTAATGCTTGGGTTGCGATACAGACAAGTTGTAACGTGTAGGCGAATTTCCGTGACTCTGGCTCTTATCTGGATAGTATCTACAGTGGCTGCAATGATCTCACGATGGAATGCCCTAATCACAACATGGTATGGCTACATTGGTATATCACTGAGTTTAACGACCTCAACTTTTTCCTACTCAATGATTTTCTGGAGGCTCCGCCAACACCAAACTCGACTACATGTACAGACAAATCAGACGAGTACACTTGATATTGCCCGATATAAAAAGGCTGTCTCGAGTGCATTGTGGCTGCAGTTGGCATTAATAGCTTGCTATCTGCCATTTCAAATTACAGATATCATTTATGATCCAGACAATGTTAAAACATCAGTCTTTCTCGCCGCTCAAATCACGTTCATTTTAGTTTACCTAAATTCAACATTAAATCCCATTCTTTACTGCTGGAAGATTGGAGAAGTAAGAGAAGCTGTGAACGACATATTAAGGAAATGGTTTTGTTCATTATAGGCTCATATAATTTCTTCACTCTACGAACCATTTTGGTTACAATGTATATGTGTTAGTGACTAAGTGTGAGGTCGAGATAATGGCCGAGTTAATTTTTTACGTTTTTACAGATTGAGACGATTTTGAGGTCAACAAAAACGCAAAAAAGAACGAGGCGAATATTCAGCCATCTTGCCGAACAAGCTTGGTCAATAAAGGATTTTTAATACAGCCAAACAATGTTTCGATACGACAAAAATCAAGAACGACTCGTTTACTTCAAGAGCCGGGAAAGAGATCGAACAGTGTTTGTCGCAAAATAACCCAAGCCCATCAGAACACAGGATTCGCTTCACATTGCCTACGGCCGCTGCTGGCTGTATAATAAACGTACCTCCTGGGTATCGATAGAGGAAAAAAATAATAACATATAATTTTAAGGTTATGTTTGTGTTTTGGCTATTAGATGAAAAAAGGTCATTATGCACCTATTGTAATGATTTAATTTTGAAGAAAATTTACCAATGATAATGGTCAAGGTGATTCTCATTAAGGACGATGTAAACGGCAACATATGTCTTTCCATTTGCGTCTTTCAAATGGAAATTTACCTGTAAAGCATATTTCATTTGAATCCCTATAGTATGAAATTAATGCCATCACTTGAAAACTTCAAAATTGGACTATAATGAAGAGTTGGCGCCATCGATTTGCTTTAAGAAATGGAAAATCAGCAGGATGGAGGATCTTAATTGATCAAAACAATATTCATTAATAATAACATTGCTTAGTAATTATCAGAACTTAAGTCAAAAATAAAGCATTGAGAAAGTAACACATCAAAGGAAAGAACGCTCTGGGAAAAAA